ACACACACACACACACACACACACAGACACACTTACACGCACACATACACGGAGCTCCTCCTCCCTTGCGCTGCAGTCTGAAGGTTTCTCTTCAGAAGCTGCTGCAGTCGACAGGAATGTGAACTGATCCGGATCACACCGGGTTCTGTTCATCAGACAGGGTTCTCCAGGGTTCTTCAGGGTTCTCGGCCATGAGGGGGAGAAACATTCAGAGCTGCTGATCAGGTAAAGACACAGACTCTTTCACAATAAAAGCCTCAACACGCACTCAGCTGATTTATATTTATAGATCAGACACGTTTATTTATAATCTTTGGATCTTAATTGATTTTAACTACAAACACGATTTAAATGATTTTTACCAAAGTAACTAAGTACATTTATTATTATTTAGATTTATTAAGATTGTTCAGGTCATTAAGAACTAATATTAAAGATAAGTATTAGACATGTTTTACTTCCTGTTTACTTTAAAGATCTCTTTGGGTCATTATTGATCTCCTTAAAACAGTGAGGTTTATTCATTTTCATATATTTCTATAATTATCACAATAAGGAGGCTCAGAAGGGGATTCTTTAACGTGTGTGTGTGTGTGTGTGTGTATTGATCACATTGATAACTGATCAGTTTGGAAAAAATCTAATTGATTCTCTGTAGAAATAGAGTCTGAAATTAAAACCATATTGTAGACCTGATGAAGGTGATGATGATGAAGGTCTGTTACAGTTTTAACTTTAGATTTACAGATACGACTTACAAACAACTTCCTGGTTTGTCACATGACTTACGTTGAATTACATTGACTTAGGTTGCCTTAGGTTGAATTACATTGATTTGCATTGAATTACATTGAATAACATTGACTTAGGTTGAGTTACATTGACTTAGGTTGAGTTACATGAATTACATTGACTTATGTTGACTTACATTGAATTACATTGACTTACATTGAATTACATTCACTTACATTGACTTACATTCACTTACATTGAATAACATTGACTTACATTGAGAAAGAGACGTCTGTTACTTCACTTCCTGCATGAACATTTAAATATCTCTAATTTAAATCATCAGGTCCTAAAAGTAGTAAAGTGCACGAACATCCTTCATTCATGTGAATGAGAACAGGGCTGGGGGCGAGGCTAAAGGAAACGCTACTGGGCATGCTCAGTAGGACAATGATGAGGAAGATCAGAAACCAAAGTCGTGGAGTCATCGATCAATAACAAGCTGCTGGGGAATAAATCAGGTAGCAATCACAATGGTTTCATAATCAAGAGGCCTGCCCACAGTGTCAGCAAATCAGGGGAGGGGGGGAGGGGCCTGGAACTCTGCTGGTCTGCGGAGAGATGTGGAGGTTTCCACGGTGACATGAGCACACACACACACACACACACACACACACAGACACAGGTCAGGTTACAGGTTACATAGAGCTTTCTGCAGTTATTCTTGGCAGCTGGATGTGTGTGTGTGTGTGTGTGTGTGATTATTACACACAATGTTTGTGTGAGTTATTACTAATTGATAAGTAATAACTTTGAGAAGGAATCCCTTTCAATACAGCCCCATGTAGTTTGATTGTTTGTTTGTTTGTCTGTTTGTTTGATTTATTTATTTATTTATATATTGCCTCCCTCACCACACATTTTAAAGAAGATATTTATCTCAACTTTCAGTTTTTTCAAACCCTTTTTCCTTCAGCTGTGTTGTGGCCCCTCAGAGGTGTGGTGCGACCCCCCCCCCCCCAGAGGTCCAGACCCCCATGTTGACCGCCAGTAAACCAGTAAACTCTGACAGCAGGTGTTTGATGTAAGCAGCATCACCTGCTGAGCCCTGATTGGACGCCTGTAGACCACCTGTCTGTCTGCCTGTTTATCTACCAGCCAACGGTCCATCAGCTCTTATTGTGACGGGGACTTCCTGTCTGTGAGTGCTGATTAAAGATCAAAGATAAAAAGTCTATTCAGAGAACCTGAGCCGTTACCATGGTGATGATTCACCCTGACCAATGACGGTCCTTTAAATTGTCCAAACACACAAACCCTTTTCTTCTTCTTCTCTGCAGGATGTCAGGTAACTGGTCCGTGGTGCAGCTGTCATCACTGGCTCCACCCACCAGCTATGTGGCCCCGCCCCCTCTCAACACGTCCCAGTTCCCGCCTCTCACGGACTGGGAGGCTCCCAGCTTCACCCGGTCCGCTCAGTTCCGTGTGGGAGCCACCTTCATCCTCTTCCTCTTCGCCGCCGGCAGTAACCTCGCCTTATTGGCCAGTGTGTGGTGTGGGCGTGGCCGGCGGCTGCCGTCTCACCTGCGGCCGCTGATGCTGAGCCTGGCGTCGGCTGACCTCATGATGACGTTCGTGGTGATGCCTCTGGACGCAGTGTGGAACGTGACGGTGCAGTGGTACGGAGGAGACGCTCTCTGTAAACTGCTGTGCTTCCTGAAGCTGTTCGCCATGCACGCCTCCGCCTTCATCCTCGTGGTCATCAGCCTCGACCGCCAACACGCCATCCTGCACCCGCTGGACGCCCTGAGTGCTCACCGCAGGAACCGACTCATGCTACTGCTGGCCTGGAGCCTCAGCCTGCTGCTTGCATCACCACAGGTAACACGCGACCTCGGGTAACACGCGACCTCGGGTAACACGCGACCTCGGGTAACACGCGACCTCGGTTAACACGCGGCCTCGGGTAACACGCGGCCTCGGGTAACACGCGGCCTCGGGTAACACGCGACCTCGGGTAACACGCGACCACGGGTAACACGCGGCCTCGGGTAACACGCGGCCTCGGGTAACACGCGGCCTCGGGTAACACGCGACCTCGGGTAACACGCGGCCTCGGGTAACACGCGGCCTCGGGTAACAC